GTAATATACCTGCCACTTCTCTTCTTCAGAGAAGAAAACTGCCACTACTCTTCTTCCACGGAATACAATAACTGCCAATTCTCTTCTTCTTCAGAGGAGAAGAGTAACTGCCACTTCTCCATGACACACCAACCTTTCTCTCCCTCGTTTCAAGTTCATCACCATTTTCTCAATTAAAAACTCCCTCTCCCCTTTTCATTCTCTATATGGCAAACGCTCGTCTGTCTCTCTCACTTTTCTAAATAACAGATGTCTCCTAAACTATTTTCACACCTCTCTCTGTCTCCCTATTCCTTCATCTGTCCAATCATACCTCTCTCTCTCTCTCTCTCTCTCTCTCTCTCTCTCTCTCTCTCTCTTATCCCACCATTCGTTCTCTCGAATAGGCACACACCTATCTCTCCATCTCTTCTGAAACACCTTTCAAAGAGGTAAAATGATTGACTAAGATGATGAAGATTAAGCTATCCAAGAGTTAGCACGGGCATGAATAACCCGTAAGAGGTAAGATGGTAAACATCCTCCTTTTATTGTTGACATCACATCACAGATTTTGTGCCAAGACATCCCCCCCCCCTTCACCCGTGTCTCATGACTTCTTCATCCGTGTCTCATGACAGACGCCATCTTAACACTCTCCTCCTACACTGTAGACACCTCACCTTACCTCCCATCCTTCATGGTAGGTACCTCCTCACCTCTACCTTCCCTCATACCCCCACCCCCCACCTGATCTTAACTCGTGACCCCAAATTCAATAGGAGAACCTTTTAGCATATTGCGGCCATATCTTTACGCGAGTCCCCCCCAATTCAGGCCGTGAATTAAAGAGAATGGACTCAGGGATGTTCACACCGGGCTGTAATATCTGGTGTTGGGAGCAGAACACGTTATTCTCTGGGTGTGTGTGTGTGTGTGTGTGTGTGTGTGTGTGTGTGTGTGTGTGTGTGTGTGTGTGTGTGTGTGTGTGTGTGTGTGTGTGTGTGTGTGTGTGTGTGTGTGTGTGTGTGTGTGTGGGTGTGTGTGGGATGTTTGGGGGTGGGAGGGAGAGGGAAATGGTTGCGTGTGTATTTTTGAGTGCGTGTATTTACTATTTTTTTTTGCCTGGAGAATCGAACTGTTAGCTCTTGGATAGCAGTTTTGTAACCGTCAACTGTCTAATGTACTTACTCATGAACTAATTTTATCTTTCATATTTTCTACAAATATTTCTCTCTCTCTCTCTCTCTCTCTCTTTCTCTCTCTCTTTCTCTCTCACACACACACGACAGCGCTTTGGGGTCATAGTCCCAAGGACCCGGGTTCGATCTCCGGTGGAGGCAGAAAGAAATGTGCAGAGTTTCTTTCACTCTGATGCCACTGTTCACCTAGCAGTAAATAGGCACCTCCGAGTTAGACAGCTGCTACGGACTGCTTCCTGGCGGTGTGTGTGTGCATGTGTAAGAGAAATATATGTAGTAGACATAATAGAGGAGAAATAAATTGGTTAGAAAGGCTGGAGCCGGGAGCTAATAGCTCGATTCTGCAGATACAAATAGTAAATATACACATAAATGGCTACTAGACTTCAATTTAAGTAAATGTAAAGTAATAAAGGGAGGGAGCAGGAAGCCAAACACAAGGAAATCCACAGCGGTGGATACGAGGCTGGATTGGGAGACCAATATATATATATATATATATATATATATATATATATATATATATATATATATATATATATATATATATATATATATATGCAAACAAGCCTGAATGGTCCCCAGGACTATATGCGACTGAAAACTCACACCCCATTAAAAGCGGATTAAGGCGCCCTGTAGTTACCAGTAGCGTTGCTCCTGGGAGTATGGGTTCGAGTCACTTCTGGGGTGTGAGTTTTCAGTCATATATATATATATATATATATATATATATATATATATATATATATATATATATATATATATATATATATATATATATATATATATATATATGGCTGGAGCCGTATATATTTCTAATATATATTCTATATATTAACAATTATGGATGCATTGATCTTCTATACTAACTCCACGCCTAGAGTACCACAGTTTTCAACTTGTCAGTTTCCCATCTGGTAGATATTCCCTTGTCCAGGTCACAGGTCATCCATCCAGTGACCTCCTTGTCCAGGTCACAGGTCATCCATCCAGTGACCTGCTGTTAACACCCTAACCCTCCGCTGATGGTGTAAGGTTGCCCAACTGGCTCACGTATCCTGGGATATCCTGCTGAGTGCTCAGCATTGTGCACTCTGCACAATCAACCAGTGTTGATTGTTGTGCAATCAACCAGGTATCAACTCTGATCCCCGCTACGTCCTTCTTTCACGTTTGTGGTGTGTTTATCTGCTCCTTCTTCGTAATTCCCGTCGCGTGAATATGTGGCAGTTGATGTGATCAAGCAGTATGTGGTTATGTGGCTGGTTAAATGACTATGTTGAGGTTTATAGATATGATTTATGTTGGAGTTTGCTTCATTATGTAGAAATGCGTGACCATGTAGAAATTTATGTAGCTATGTATTATTTTAGATGACTATGTATTAATGTGACTACGTTGTAAATTGGGTTAAGATCTTGTTGATATCTTTAAGTGTTAAATTTGTTACTCTCCTCTTGCCTACTAATTCTCATCTTTCACCCTTTCACCTAGTAGCCTGTTCACCAGTTCCCTGTTCACAAGTTCTCTGTTCACTAGTTCACTGTTTACTATAGTTCCTTGTTCACTAGTTCCCTGTTTACTAGTTCCTTGTTCACTAGTTCTTTGTTCACTAGTTCTCTGTTCACTAGTTTTCTTGTTCACTCGTTCCTTGTTCACTAGTTCCCTGTTTACTAGTTCCTTGTTCACTAGTTCTTTGTTCACTAGTTCTTTGTTCACTAGTTTTCTTGTTCACTCGTTCCTTGTTCACTAGTTCCCTGTTTACTAGTTCCTTGTTCACTAGTTCTTTGTTCACTAGTTCTTTGTTCACTAGTTCTCTGTTCACTAGTTCTCTGTTCACTAGTTCCCATTTCACTAGCTTCCAGATCACTAACGAACACCTTTTTTTTTATTTTGCCTCCATGCCTTCATATCCTCTACTTCAAAATCATCACGATAGTTGTTGAAAAAAATTGAACTTGGATCTGTATCTATCCTCTTACTGCCGGTGGTTCAATCCTATCGCGAGATCTGGGTACATCAAGGCACAGAAAGCTGTGCCAATTACCTCGGAGGGTTGAGTGATTAACTGGTGATATTTGCGTTTAATTTACACCTTTTTTCTCAACGTTTTACTGATAATAGATAAGAGAAGATAAGAGAAGTGGACATAGCCCAAGCAACACAACCTGGCAACACGCAAATCAGAGAACTATGTACACAAATTATGAAAATAAGTCGTTCCAAAACGACCTCCAGTAAATATGTTTTTTTTTCAAGTTTTCTCATGCATACATTTACGTAAACGGGAGAGGAAGCGGCCGCTGGAGCCATGGGAACTGAGCCCAGACACGCCTTCAAAGGAGGACGTCGGAGTACGTCAGTTAGAAGGGTGCGACGTCGCGATCCCGGAATGTGGTGGAGTGGGGAGGGGTAGGGAGGTTTGGGTGGGGTGGGGTAGGGAGGTTTGAGGAGGGGTGGGGTATGGAGGGAGGTGTAAGGTGGGGTGGGAAGTGTGGGGTGGGGGAGAGTAAGGAGGTGTGGGAGGGGGAGAAGATATAATGGAGGCATCTTCGAAGGAATTAACGACCATTAAATATTTTAGACGATTCTCTCGTTCTCCGTCCGAGCACCTGTCCCTATGTATACATATACATGCTTGTATGGATAGAGTAAATATGCATCTTTAAATGTTCTATGAGTTTTAGTCCTTCAGCCTGTTACTTATGTATGTGTGATAGTTTGTATGCGTATGTATGATGTTCTGTTTGTTGATACATGTCTTACACGCGAGCATGGATACACTGTATGTGTGTTCCGCTATCATAGCATTAATCAGCGTTCTACGAGTCATACTCACCCACACTCAGCACGCAGGCCAATCACTGCGACACACAGAATCACACTTGCTTGTGTATGAAAACGAACTGTTATAATTGCTTTACCCTTGTCTAGCTCCACACGCTACTTCTCCGCGCACTCGTGTGAGTACCTTCACTACACCCTCCTCCAGGCACAGTTAACAGTGGCTTTACTCACACACACTCTCGATCCACAAGTCAGACACACACAGCACCGCTCCTGTGCCAGGTAAGTCCACTACGGGCTCACCATAGACCGTGCTACTTGGAACTTGTTCCGAGTGGCTGAATCTATGACAATAACAATAAACACACATACTCTCAGCACACAGTATATCCTTTCACGACCAAAGATCACATTCACTCCAAAAAAAATCAACCACTTACGGGCTATTCATGCCCGTGCCACCTCTTGGCTGGCTTAATCTTCAATCAATCAATCAATCAATCACACACTCTTTTACCCTTTATTATCCCAGCCTCGCTCAACATATCAACTACACACCATCTGGTCACCATTTGGTCCGGGAGACATCTCCCGTCACGCGGGGTGCAGTCGCACCTCCACAGATCTCCAGTATCATCTATTGATACTGGTAATGGCTCCAAAGGGCCACCACTTACGGGCTATTCATGCCCGTGCCACCTTTTGGGTGGCTTAATCTTCATCAATCAACACATCAACGCACTCTCATCATTGTCTACTTCCACACACACACTCCACCAAGCCAGAACCAGCACCAAAAAATGAAATTGCTAAAATTTCGGATTTCACTCTTGAGAGGGAAGATTAAGTCTTAATTAACTCCTGCCTCTCCACCATCTTGCCTCGGTACACTCATGCCTCGAGGTGCCTTCAAATGCTGTTGCAAATCACATGACCTTTTTCAATATGCAGTTTCTGGCCTTGCAAATGACGTCAGAAGATCATTATTAAAACTTGATTCCCGAGAAAAGGTCTTATAGAGAAGCGGTGATGAGTTTGCAAGAGATAAGTGAGAAGTTTCGACTCAAGACGCCAGTCAGTGAGTCATGGCGGGAACTATAATGGGGGTTGAGACATGGTGGGGAAGTTTTCCTCTGGCCTATTCAGAACAATCTATCAATCATTGTCGAGTACCGTCGTCGGCTTGGAGGCATCGGACACCGTGCCTGCAGATATCCGGAGTAGTGCCTCAAGTTCCTGGATTACGTGGATTATCTGGAAATCCGGACGTGACAATACCATCATTTAGACCATCACGTAGTGATCCAAAGCACCAGCATCACCTACACCACCACTAACACCATGTAAATTAACCATAACACCATCACCACCCATAACACCATACACCACCATGGCTCAGACCGCGCCCGTCTGCCATATAGCGTCCCACTACTCGCCAAGATTACTTTCTCGGTAAACATTTCTTCCCGATACATTGACTCTTCAAGCGCATTCCTCCATGAATATTTCTCAGCTCGAGCTATTACCCCGGTACACAGCCCCGATCCATCAAACTCCAATATTTGCTAAATTTTCTTGCGTCAATACGTGTCAGTTCGGCTCAAATATATTGATCTCCGGAGATGCTGAGTAGGGAAAGAGGAAAACGGAGATAAAGTAGATGAGGAAGGTGAGAGAGAGAGAGAGAGAGAGAGAGAGAGAGAGAGAGAGAGAGAGAGAGAGAGAGAGAGAGAGAGAGAGAGAGAGAGAGAGAGAGAGAGAGAGAGAGAGAGAGAGAGAGAGAGACATACAATGTTAAATATAGACTCGTGGGAAAGGTGGAAGGGAGAGTGGGAAATATTGATCTAAACCTATAACTCTTAACCTAATCAACTTTCTCTTCCGCCCCCCTTACTTCTTCCCTTTGACCGTTCATCAATTTCCCTTCTTTCCCATCACACCTTCCCTTCTTCCATCAACCTCACGCCTGGATGCACTATATCTCAGCCATCTCCATCCAGCATCCACGCTTCCATCCACCTATATCCACCTCCATCCAGGCATCTCCCGCAGCGTACTGTAATATGCTTCACTAACTTATCTTCTATTCGCCTCTCATGTCTCCATCGCTATTGTTCATCTCTTCCTTCTACATCCGTATATCTTCCTTCCCTTAAGTCCTCTTTCTTCCCTCTCTCGTCTCTTCCCCTCTTCGCCTCTTCCTATCACTCCATCTCTTAACGTTCCTTCCCCTCTGGAGCGCCTGTGTGGCTTTACCTTAATTCAAGCTGGTGGAATGAATACATGGATGTGCTCTGTTCCAACCTGCCAACCAGGCCTCCAGTCAACCTATCAACCAGGCCTCCAGTCAACCTGCCAACCAGGCCTCCAGTCAGCCTATCAACCAGGCCTCCAGTCAACCTGCCAACCAGGCCTCCAGTCAACCTGCCAACCAGGCCTCCAGTCAACCTGCCAACCAGGCCTCCAGTCAACCTGCCAACCAGGCCACCAGTCAGCCTATCAACCAGGCCTCCAGTCAACCTGCCAACCAGGCCTCCAGTCAACCTGCCAACCAGGCCTCCAGTCAACCTGCCAACCAGGCCACCAGTCAGCCTATCAACCAGGCCTCCAGTCAACCTGCCAACCAGGCCTCCAGTCAACCTGCCAACCAAGCCTCCAGTCAACCTGCCAACCATTCCTCCAGTCAACCTGCCAACCATTCCTCCAGTCACCCTGTCAACCAGGCCACCAGTCAACCTGCCAACCATTCCTCCAGTCACCCTGTCAACCAGGCCACCAGTCAGTGTGCCAACCAGGTATCCTGTGAACCTACATCCAGTCAACCAACCAGCTAAAATCTCAACCAATTAATCACAAAGCCAAAGTCACTTGTTCTTTAACGCCCGTAAATTAACCTCTCTTTAATTTCTCTTCAAACGGTAATGTCTAATTCTTTGGATAAACCGTATTAACCTTCCAAGTATACGCGCCTTTTTACCTTATATCCACCCTACAGTACGGCACCCAACACTGAAGTACGTACAAATCCACAAGAGCCGTGACGAGGATTCGAACCTGCGTTCGAGAGCATCCCAGACTCTGCCTTAATCGACTGAGCTACGACATGGTCAAAAGAGTTGAAACCGAAGTTTTACTGAACTTACCGGATCCTGCAGCCTCTCCGAGGCACAAACCAGGGTTTTACACAACTCCCCCCCATGCACTCTAGTAATTGGGATTTCTGTGTGTACTGAACTACGTAATCTAACTAGGACCTAACAAGGTTGTGCTGAAGAATATGGACGTAAGGTGGGAAACATCATTTACTACACCACAGTGTGGTTGGGTATCACTTACAAATTGAATTGTGGGTACCAGGTGGTGACTGCTAAACTCAATGTAAGTTCAGTACAACTTCTGGTTGTGAGTGTTTTTTTTTTAGCTCATCGTGGTCAAGTAGGTGGTTTGTGTGTCAAGCGAGACCAGAAATGGGAGTTCAAGTCCACCGCATGACCTAAACAAAACTTCATAAATGCATCACGTTATTATTTATATATTATCAGTATTTATCAAATAGAATGTCTGTCCCAGTAGTAGTAAAAGACCAGAGCTTGTGTGAGTGAGACCAGAGCCTCACTCACACAAGTATGTGAGTGCGATAGGCCAGCCAGCGTCCTCCCAAGTGTAATGATTTAAGAAAAACTGACATCTTAAGTGACCCCTACAATTTTCATCAAGTCTGGAATCAAATAAGGAAGTTGTATTTTCCGTAGTTTTGTTACTCGGAAGCATTAATTGATATAAAAATAACCTAACTGATATTGGATATCATATACACTGCTCTGCCCATTTGTTTCTGCCTCCGCCGGGGATCGAACCCGAAACCTTAGGATTAGGAATCTCGAGCGCTGTCCACTCAGCCGTCAGGCCCTCTGGGCTAGACTAAGACATTCTAAACACCAGTCTGAGGCTCGGAGGTTCTCTTAAAGACATATTTCCCCAGGTGAGGCTGTCATCAGGTGTCATCTTACCTCCTCCGTGAATACTTCTGTTTCGTTATCGGAAAACTCGAAACATTTTGTCCAAAATATTTATATTCACCGCAGCCTCTGAATAATTTTATTCCTGTCCAAATTTTCCCTAGAATGTTTACCTACATATACTGAGTAATTTCCCCAAGTGGCGATCCATTCCCCATAAGAAAGTACAGCGTTTGCTCTCAGTTTTTTCCCTTCCAGCGTCTGGAGAGCGGTTTTTCTCCCTCCTTTCCTCACAAGATGGAGGAGTTGATAGCTTGAGATTTTCCCGGGAGAAGGAGGCTCATCTTGTCGAAGTTTATGCTCGGGAACGTTCTCTTCTACGCTTTTTTTCGTGTTTTTACTGCTGAACGACGTAGCCTTTTGACTGTATTATCCTCCCCTGAGAGCCCTTTCCTTGCTCCTTGAGTAAGATGTATCCGAAACTATAAGAAAATGATACCTTGCCTTGAGGTTACCTTGAGGTGCTTCCGCGGCTTAGCGTCCCCGCGGCCCGGTCGGGGACGCGACCAGGCCTCCTGGTTGCTGGACTGATGAACCTCTGATCGTCAGATGTTAAATTTAACTTTAGTGATCTTGGGCTGGACGGTATCCCGCCAAACACACACCGAAACTACGACGTTGATACAACGTTCGAACAAGTTTTAACACCTAACCAGTTATAACAACCAATATAGCAAGTTGTAACAACGTTCTAATACGCCATAAACACGTTAAGCCAAGATGTAACAACTTTATTACAAGTTGTAACAAGCGGAAAATAGAGACAGTTTCGGTTTGTGTTTCCAGGGTAGAGAACGACGGTCTTGCTTCACGCAGGTCGGCGTTCAATCCCCCGACCGTCCACAAGTGGTTGGGCACCATTCCTTTCCCCTCCGTCCCATCCCAAATCCTTATCCTGATCCCTTCCAAGCGCTATACAGTCGTAATGGCTTGGCGCTTTTCCACGATAGTTCCCTTCCCTTGGTGCTCAATGCCCTACTTGGGGAACTTCAAACACTTTTATAAGTTTAGAAGTTTCTTATTGCGCTTGAACTTATTTGTTTATTCAGTAATAAGTGCAAGCTGTTATATGGTTTAAAGTGCATATATTGACAAGTGCTTATAATGCGGCTTATAGATGCAATCAAGTGCATATAATGCTGCTATGGGAGCATTCATACTATTATGGGAGCATTCATACTACTATGGGAGCATTCATACTATTATGGGAGCATTCATACTACTATGGGAGCATTCATACTACTATGGGAGCATTCATACTACCATGGGAGCATTCATACTACTATGGGAGCATTCATACTACTATGGGAGCATTATAAGCAACCTTTTATATTGGTTTACATTTATGGAGGAAAATAGTATTTTTTTCTAGTTGGATTTTTGTGTAATACAAAATATTGTTACACATGGGTGTATACAGGTAATTTATTTTTGTTATAAAACGAAAATATTAATGTCTTTAAAATTAAACAGTGATGTGTTTACATTCAGAAAGTAACAAGGTTTATGTTGTGATATTTGAGTTGCTAGGGTGTTGTTGCTAGGGTGTTGTTGCTAGGATGTTGTTGCTAGGGTGTTGTTGCTAGGGTGTTGTTGCTAGGGTGTTGTTGCTAGGGTGTTGTTGCTAGGCTGTTGTTGCTAGGGTGTTGTTGCTAGGGTGTTGTTGCTAGGGTGTTGTTGCTAGGGTGTTGTTGCTAGGGTGTTGTTGCTAGGTTGTTGTTGCTAGGGTGTTGTTGCTAGGGTGTTGTTGCTAGGGTGTTGTTGCTAGGGTGTTGTTGCTAGGGTGTTGTTGCTAGGGTGTTGTTGCTAGGGTCTTGTTGCTAGGGTGTTGTTGCTAGGGTGTTGTTGCTAGGGTGTTGTTGCTAGGGTGTTGTTGCTAGGGTGTTGTTGCTAGGGTCTTGTTGCTAGGGTCTTGTTGCTAGGGTGTTGTTGCTAGGGTGTTGTTGCTAGGGTCTTGTTGCTAGGGTGTTGTTGCTAGGGTCTTGTTGTTTGTGGTGGCTGGTGCTTGTACCAAGTTGCTTTCATTGGTATTATGAAAGAGGGAGCCGGTCGGCCGAGCGGACAGCACGCTGGACTTGTGATCCTGTGGTCCCGGGTTCGATCCCTGGCGCCGGCGAGAAACAATGGGCAGAGTTTCTATCACCCTATGCCCCTGTTACCTAGTAGTAAAATAGGTACCTGGGTGTTAGTCAGCTGTCACGGGCTGTCACGGGTGGAGGCCTGGTCGAGGACCGGGCCGCGGGTTACCTTACCTTGAGGTTACCTTGAGGTGCTTCCGGGGCTTAGCGTCCCCGCGGCCCGGTCGTCGACCAGGCCTCCTGGTTGCTGGACTGATCAACCAGGCTGTTGGACACGGCTGCTCGCAGCCTGACGTATGAGTCACAGCCTGGTTGATCAGGTATTGATCGGGTACACTAAAAGCCCCGAAATCATCTCAAGATAACCTCAAGATTATTTGTGTGATGGTGTTTTTAGTGTAATTTATGATGGTTTTGGAAATCTTGGTCAATATGTTATGTCATGGAATTGTTACTTTAAAGCAATATCAATTTCTCAGTACGGCCCAGTCCCCAACGAAGAACTGAATAATAACCATATAACTTCCTTCTGTCCAAGAGATAAATTAATGGTAAAATTAATTAAAATTAATTAAAATTAATGCCTGAGGTAAATTAATATGCTCAGTAAGTGTAATGATTCCTAAAACACTTAAAAGATTTATCAAATAAACTGAGGAATTGAGAATTGTGGCTCCAAAGGCGCAGCCACAATCCTATTTTCAATCTGCAGGAACATATTGGGCAATAACTCAGCAGAACATTAAAAATGTATTCAGTAATCCATACTAACACCTCGGCCTGGGTGTGTAACTAATCTACAGGTGTCGCACTTAAATTCTACTAACACACGTCAAATACAATTGGTGTGAGGCAACGGGTAAGTCTCGTTACACCCGTTGCCTCTGTTCACCCAGCAGTGATTTGATACCTGGGTGTTAGTCGACTGTTGTGGGTGGCATCCTGGGGAGGTTATCTTGAGGTTATCTTGAGATGATTTCGGGGCTTTTTAGTGTCCCCGCGGCCCGGTCCTCGACCAGGCCTCCACCCCCAGGAAGCAGCCCGTGACAGCTGACTAACACCCAGGTACCTATTTTACTGCTAGGTATCAGGGGCGTAGGGTGAAAGAAACTCTGCTCAATGTTTCTCGCCGGCGCCTGGGATCGAACCCAGGACCACAGGATCACAAGTCCAGCGTGCTGTCCGCTCGGCCGAAGTTTAGGGGAATGGCCAAATGGCCATTTGGGGACTGGCCAAAAGCTGTATATATATCCCAAGTATCCTCGAGTATCCCACAAAAAAGCAAGGCACAGCACAGGAACATAGCTGGAAGGCTAACACATAAACTGAAACGTGACGAAAAGCAAAGCAACTCCAATCTGATCTAAATGACTGTTAATGCATCACCTGGAAACACTTCCTGGCTACTTGACACAGCTACAGTGACTTAATTTAAAAGTAAAACACGTCCTTAAGAGCATTAATAGATGGAACAGCTGCCCACGTCCGCACCTCCCAAGAGCCACAGCTCAACTGGTGTTGAAATTTATAGCAAGAAGCCATCTCTCAATCCTTCACTCTAGTTGTTTACAATTATTTTGAATAATTGCCAGTGCTAATAACATATTCATTAAAAGCAAGCCCTTTACATCAAAATTATTGATTAACAATCCATAATCAACAACCCTAAGGAATATTACTAAAATAAAAAATCTTTTAATTTAATACTCGAGGTTTAAGTGAAAATAAGTTTACAAA